TCCACTCCAGCGTGTCTACCTCGCCAAACAGCTTGGTATCATCGGCAAAGTTGCTGAGGGTGCACTCGACCCCACTGTCCATGTGTGCGACAAAGATGTTGAACAGTACAGGTCCCAGTACTGACCCCTGAGGAACACCACTTGTCACTGCTCTCCACTTGGATATCGAGCCGTTGACCGCAACTCTTTGAGTGCGAACGTCCAGCCAGTTCTTTATTCACCATGTGGTCCATTTGTCCATGTCTCTTCAATTTAGAGACCAGGATATCGTGTGAGACAGTGTCAGATGCTTTGCGTAAGTCCAGGTAGATGACAGCAGTTGATCTTCCCTTGTCCGCTGCTGCTGTAACCCCTTCATAGAAGGCCACCAAATTTGTCAGGCATGACTTGCCTTTGGTGAAGCCATGCTGGCTGTCACCAATCACCTCCTTGTTTTCTATGTGCCTTAGCAGAGTTTCCAGGAGGAGCTGCTCCATGATCTTGCCAGGCACAGAGTAGAGACTGACTGGCCTGTAGTTCCCTGGGTCTTCCTTCCTTCCCTTTTTGAAAATAGGGGTTATGTTTCCCCTTTTCCATTCGGCAGGAACCTCGCCAGACCACCACGACTTCTCAAATATGATGGCTAGTGGCTTAGTGGTTTCATCTGCCAGTTCCCTCAGGACCTGTGGATGTATCTCATCAGGTCCCATGGACTTGTGCACAAATTCAGGCTCATCTTTGTTACCTTCTGGTTAAATCTCTGCCTGCAAGATCTAAACGTAGATAGCACTCTAGGGAAAAAATGATTATTTTTTTTCCTGAACTTGAACAAGCAGGGCAATAAAGAATCCTGCCTTTTGAGATGAATGGAAGACAGTGTGAAATAAATACATCTATGATAATTCTTGTTATTTTTTAACTTCCTGTGAAGGATTTTTAATGGTAAGTGGGAGCCATTTTGAAGGTATAGGCTCTGTAAATTACCCTGAGTGAGGATCTTCACAGAGGAACACAATGGGTAACTGGTCTCAGACCTTTTGTTCTCTGCCCCATTTTTTTCAGGTATGAGTAGCCTAGAAATAGAAGCATACTTTACTTGGGGCTTACAGCTACACTATTGGTATACAGACTTTATGGTGATGTCTCAGTTTGTGTGCTGATCCATGCAAAATTCTTAAAACGTACTAACAGATAGTTAAGGGGAGGACCCACGTTATTTGTTTCTCACTTTCATATTGCTGTACAACGCAGTCTGCAACATAGCCTGGCAGTTGCCCTTCTGTCTTTTGTGACTACTGAGAAATGACATTTCCCCCAAAACTTTGGATGACCTCATATGGTTTTGTATAAACAAGTTAATGCAGTTAGTTTTGTCTCAGTTTGTTTGTTTGGAAAGTGATTGTGTCTTAATGCAGCTGTCCCAATACAGGGGGGTAATTAGAGCTAATGAGCTCCAAAGTGCATTCCCCTGTAGTCTCAGGATTTGTTGCTATTTGTCAGCTGGACTCTCTAAGATCAGTAGGAAGAAAGGGGTTTTGTTCCCGAGTTCCTCGAACTTTAGCTTCCATTTTAGATTTCCTAAATGTTTATTTTGGGGGGATTTGAAAGTAAGACCCAGATTCCTTTCCAGATGGAAGTGTTTTTTAAAGACTTGTAACTGTTAAGATGCCCATGAGATCATTTGAATTCACTTTGCCCTCTTTAACTGTTGGTCTAATAAAAGCCTTATGAAATGTAGTCACAAAATTTGCAGCATGTGCGAGCAGTGTTTGGCACTAGTACAGAGTGCATTAACGTTTATCCTACTCTAGTTATCCTTCTCTATAGTGCAGGTTAAATGAAGGAAATCTTACCTTGCTTCTCATGATCATTCAGAACCAAGCTTTTGGTGCTGTTGCGGTTTTCAGCAGTTCTTCAAACTGCTAGTTTAGCATCATAATGTGTTATGGAGAATGTGCTCTGATAATAGTGAGAGCATAATGCATGTGTTTCCAAGGATATGAAGTAACTTAATTATTATTAAATTCAGTAAAACATATTTTAGATGCTTTTAACCAGAATATATTTACAGAAAACCTTTTGTGGTAGTCTATGGTTTCAGTCTGAAGGAATGAGCCCTAATGTGCCTCTGCTGTCTCCAGCTTCACTGCTGCCTCTAGGGTTATAGACAGATATTTTTTTATTTTTATTATTTTAAATTTGTTTCAGCTGTTCTGTGTGGGAGAATATGTAAGCTCCATCAGAGGTACTAGAGGAGAGGTTTTTTCCACCTGATGGAAGACAAGGCTGCATCACTGGCTTCTCATTAAGTGATGATTGACTTCCTAATAAAATGATTTTTTTTTTTAAGTTCAGCCCAAACTGAGAAGTGAGTTCAGCAAAAGTAAATATTAGAAGAAAAAAATAGTGCATTTGATTTTTAACAAAGGCTTGAGTAAGGATGTAGAAAATGGAAATAAAAAGTTTAGGTGAGAAATTGTCATAGAATTGTTGATTGATGAGAAACTCAATATGACCCGGCAATGTGCGCTCACAGCCCGGAATGCCAACTGTATCCTGGGCTGCATCAAAAGAAGTGAGGCCAGCAGGTCAAGGGAGGTGATCCTGCCCCTCTACTCCATTCTGTTGAGAGCCCACCTGGAGTACCGCATCCAGCTCTGGGGCCTCCAAAATAAGAAGGACATGGATCTGTTGAAGTGAGTCCAGAGGAGGGCCACGAAGATGATCAGAGAGCTGAAGTACCTCTCCTTTGAGGAGAGGCTGAGAGAGTTGGGGCTGTTCATCCTGGAGAAGAGAAGGCTCTGGGGAGACCTTAGAGCAGCCTTCCAGTATCTGAAGGGGGCCTGCAAGAAGGCTGGAGGAGGGACTTTTTACAAGGTCATGTAGTGATAGGACAAGGGGTAATGGATTCAAGCTGGAAGAAGGTAGATTTAGATCAGATATTAGGAAAAAATTTTTCATTGTGAGGGTGGTGGGACACTGGAACAGGTTTCCCAGTGAAGCTGTGGATGCCCCATCCCTGGAAGTGTTCAAGGCCAGGTTGGATGGGGCTTTGAGCAACCTGGTCTAGTGGGAAGTGTTCCTGCCCATGGCAGGTGGCTTGGAGCTAGATGATCCCAACCCATGTTCAGGATCTTGCACTTGGCCTTGTTGAACTTCAAGAGGTTCACACAGGCCCACTTCTCAAGCCTGTCCAAGTCCCTCTGGATGGCATCCCTTCCCTTCAGCATGTTGACCGCTCCACACAGCTTTGTTTTGTCGGCAAACTTGTTGAAGGTGCACTCAATCCCACTGTTGATGTTACCGACAAAGATGTTAAAGACTCCTGAGGAACGCCAGTCATCACTGGTCTCTGCTTGAACAACCAAGCCTTTGAGCTCAACTCTTGAGTATGACCATCTGGCCAGTTCCTTATCCACAGAGTGGTCCATCCATCAAATCCATGTTTCTCCAATTTAGAGGCAAGGATGTCGTGCGGGACAGTGTCAAATGCTTTTCACAAGTCCAGGTAGATGATGTCAGTTTCTCCTTCGTTGCCCTTTGTTGGACATGCTCCAGCACCTCAATGTCTTTCATTTAGTGAGGGCGCCAAAACAGTACTCGAGGTGTGGCCTCACCAGTGCCGAATACAGGGGAGATATGGGTATGATTACTTCTCTAATCCTGATGGCCGCGCTATTTCTGATACAAGCCAGGATGCTAGTGGCCTTCCTGACCACCTGGGCACACTGCTGGCTCATATTCAGCCGACTGTCAACCAACAAACCCAGGTCCTTTTCCTCTGGGCAGCTTTCCAGCCACTCTTCCCCAGCCTGTAGTGCTGCATGTATTTGTTCTGTTGGAGCTAGAAAATGCTTTTCTGTCAGACAAGTGCATCTTCAGGAAAGCTTTATCAGTACAATCATTGCTTAAATTCAAACCCTCTGCAGAGCTGTTGAGCCTTAGTGACAGCAAGAGCTAGATTGCCCATGTAACATTTGTCACTCCAGGGGCAGCAGCTCTGGACCCTGTCATGCATGTCTTGGGTCACCAGCTGGATCGTAGTGCCCTACTGCTTGCTACTTACAAAAATGCGGATCTTTATTATAATATTATGTCCACATTAGCCTTCATAACATAACAATTCAATGTATTAGGTAGAAAGATGTCTTGGCTCTTTTTTGTTTGTTTAACCATACTAGTTTTTGAAAAACAAAACAAAAAATGAACAAAACCTTATCCTACGTAAACTGGCTGGTGTTTGTTTTCACAATTTAACATTTCTCATAGGAAAGCCTTATTGAGAAAAATGTCTGAATTTAGCTAATTTATATCCCTTTTAATAAAATAGAATTCTTCATTAAATGCTTTTGTGTGCTTATGCCATGATTATTCTCATAAGCTAATGATGCATTTCTTAGTCTGCGACAGTTCGAATGTGTTTAGATACTTGAGCAATTCACTGTAAAGAAATTGTTACAGGTAAGCCAGTCTGTTTCAAATTGAGCTAGTCTGTAACACCATTTAAAATGCATTTGGAATATACTTCAGTCCTTTTGATTCTAAAAAAACCCAGAATGTGTTTAATATCTTTTCTCCATTGAATATCTGAAGCTAAATCTCTGTGGTATGGCGGTTTTTGTTTTGATATACCATGAGTTTTTGAAAACATTCTCTTAAGAAAATTAATTTTCATTCATCTTGAAGGTTCTCCTGTCCAGTTCCTTGACAAACTTTATTCTGACTCTTTTTTTTTGTTTGTTTGTTCTCTTTCAGAGTTTGGATACAGACAAGCCTGTGGCACCAGTGAAGAGATCACCTCTCCATCAGGAAACCAATCTTGCCAACTTCTCATATCGCTTCTCCATGTACAATTTGAATGGTTTGTTTGAATTATTTACCTCCTAAAATATTAGTTTAGGGAAAAAAAAAAACATTGCAGCCATAAATGGGAACACTATGATATAGGAGTATTTAAATACACTTGTGACTCAAATGGGAACACTTTTACTGAAGGCATTGCTTTCTGATGGCACAGGATTTTGAGTATTCTAAAGCAGTATCTTTCACAGCACCTAGTATCTGAGAATTGTAGTCTAGTGTTTGTATGGAAATACACATTCTGGGATCTGGTCTCATGAAAGAATGATTTGATATGCATTTGTTAAACGGGAAGAAAGAGCATCTTGTTTCATGGGACAGGATGCAGGAATGCAGCTACAGAATGCTTCCACATTAAGCAAAAATCATGTTTTTCCTCGTCTTAAAATAGCTTCCTGTGGTTGCAATACAGGAAGCCTTAATTTAAAGTCTTGAGTATGTGTATAGTATTTTGTGGGTTTTTTAAAAAGCAGTGTCACATACCATGCATTGCTTTAGCAGAAAATGCTTAGCAAAACATCTACACTTTTTTTATTATATTATTAGATATTAGATATGTATTATTACATTCTGTTCACAGGACAGCAGTTTAAACTTTTCAAATGTAATATGAACATTCATAGATTTCTTCTGTTGGCAAATGTATTTAACTTAAATAGTTGTTTGTTGAGTTGTTTTAATTGCTCTTAGACCAGTCAAGAGTAGTAGTGCAAATAAATTTCTGCTTAGCTGTGAGCAGGGATTTTGCAATACAGATGGGGAAAAAAAATATAGCTTCCTTTGCTCCCTTACCTGAACTGTTAAATTGTATAACACGAAGTGAAGAGTTGCACAGACAAATGAAGTAACTCTGCACATACTGAAAATTCTTGTTTATTGCAGAAGCCCTGAATCAGGGGGAGACTGTGGATCTAGATGCCCTCATGGCTGATCTCTGTTCCATAGAGCAGGAGCTCAGCAGCATTGGGTCTCATTCAGCAAACAATGCTGCAATGAAACGTCTTGCCACAGAACCCAAAGCTCAGAAACCGCCTACTAGCCGACCTTCTACTAAGCACAGCAGCATGAAAGGATTATCTTCCTCATCTGGTAAGGTGACTAAACCATCGCATCCCAACGTATCTTTGGATGACATCACTGCACAGTTAGAGAAGGCCTCCTTGAGTATGGATGAGGCAGCCCAACAGTCTGTTGCAGAAGACACCAAACCAGTAGTTACTGCTCAGCACAGGAGGACAGCATCTGCTGGCACGGTGAGCGATGCTGAGGTGCGCTCAATCAGTAACTCCTCCCGTTCCAGCATAACTTCTGCAGCTTCCAGCATGGACTCCTTGGATATCGATAAGGTGACAAGACCTCAGGAACTGGACTTGACGTCCCAAGGGCAACCAATCACTGAGGTAGAGTGTCATTAATTCAATACGTCGGTTTGGTTTGGGGTGTTTTTTTCTTCCCTGCCCACATGCTTACAGTTCTAGCTAAACATCTTCAGTGCACTGGAGTTGATCAAAGATTAAGGTTGCTTCTTCATGGACTGCACATGCTGTGGCTCCTTCTTTCTCTATTTAGGTCTGCAAGGAATCTTTTTAAAGAACGTGTACTTCCTTTGTTTTTTTTAAGGGCTTTTCCCATCTCTTCCTCCTCCTAAGCCAGTCATGGATTTTAATGTTTTATAGCTTATGTTTTTATTCTAAGTAAAACTCATATATTGTTTTTAATTTAAATCTGAGGAGTGCACAGCTGTGGAAAAAAGAAAGTGCAACTGACAAGATTACATTCCTGTTACAGTACACTTAATACCTGAAACACATGGAGCAGTTTGAGTGCCTGTCTGGAGCTATACTATACCAGTAATTTGCTGCTACTTAATATTCTTGTTTACTGTATGACAGGGAGAACTCTTTGAAGCAATGCACAACACAGAAAAGCAACTGGGCTGGGATACAGCAATAGCAGATGTTCATTTGGGATTTTGGTGCCTTGGCATTGCTTATCCATGGAGTAAACTTTTCAGTAAAAACACAGCCAGTTTGGGGAATATTGAAAGTCCTGGTGACTTGTGGAAGGAAACGGGGAAAACGTTGTGGTGAATCTAGAGAACTTAAACTAGAAGCTGTCTTGTAGAAATATTCTCCGAAACAGAAATCTGGCATGTTCAAAAGTCAGTTGTACTAATACCCATGTTCTCTTTTATGGGAGAAAACTAGAACAAGCTGAGTTTATTCTAATCAATAATTAACACTAATTTGAATGAGCTGTGCTGAAAGCATGCCTCTACCCATCTGCAGCAGAAGTTCATCTGATGTAAAGAGGGGATGATGCAGGCTTGTCAGTCTAATGATCATCATCAAGGTCACACTTAGATTTAAATATTGTTTTGAATGGTGAGAAATGAATGAGTGACAGCTTAGGTAAGCTTTGTTTTTGTATAAAAAGTTGGTGTTCAGTATATTTTTATTGGAGATTCCTATTGAGTAAAGCAAAACAGAAGTAGACAGAAATGCGTCCTTTTCTCTTTGGAAAGTTAGAATGCAAGCATTTGCATTATTGCTGTAGGCTTAAGTGTTGGAGACAGCCTATGACAATCATTGATTATATTGTTGGTTGGTTGTCAGTCTTTTTGTGGTATGACAAGGCTTGTTTTTAGTTTGTCTTTTGATCTCTGACTGTTATTCATGCCGATATCTTTTTTTTTTTAATGTAGAAAACTAAGCAATATTGCATTTTTGTCTCTCCTAAGGCTAAAAAGATGATTTATTTGAATTAATTGCTTCTGTAACTTACATAGCATAAGAAAAACTTGAATTTCTTAATTTTTAAAAGTGCAGGATGTTTTCTGCAGTTGATTTTGCAGGTCTCCCTCTAGATCTCAGCCTCTCTTACTTCAGGAGTGATATGCTTGAGGCATCATTAAGATTGCCCTTCTTGTCTCCCAGATTTTTCAGCTCTTCCCATGGCATGAGTAATCAACAAACCACCTGCTGCACTTAAGTAACTTGATGTTGGTGAATCAAGAGACAGGTCAAGAAGTTGCTTTGTTTTCAGGGGAAGCTAATCTATATTGCTGCAAGTGTTGCAGTAGCTTTCTGAGCTCTTGGCTACTGACTGCAAGGCTCAAAACCACCCCCAAGAGCTTTTCTCACAAAGGCATGTGAGAGCTGCCTTTGTAAACCCGGTGATTGCTTCTCATAAGAATGTGGCTATTGTTTCTCTGCCCAGATAAGTTGATAAGAATGATTCCTTTGAAGGAGGTAACCAGAACGTGTTGGTAATTTGAGAGCCAAATTCTGCTCTCTTAATGCTTTGCACTTACTAACAGTACTGATTTGGTTTTGCTCTATCTGTTCTTTCTAATTTCAATAGCCTGAGGAAGGTGTTCAACTCTGAGAAATTTTCACCAAGTTTACAGAATTGGTATTCAACTATTCAGTATTGAAACTGTTATGTGATGGGACTTTTTACTGTGAAGCAGCTTTTTTTTCTTGTCGCTGGTGAAAGGAGAGGGGGAAAATCACATTTGTGTAGAGTTTGTTTGGTGGTGGTTGTTAAATGAAATTCACTTTATAAATCGGCAGAAACCCAAGGATTCTTTGGTATAATCATTGGGTACCAACAAACAAGTTTATTTCCTTTTTTTATTCATTTAATGCCTGAAAACTATTGCTTAGGGTTTATTAATCTCCATGGCTAGGTTGTGAACCAAAACATCTTTTCCTAGTATGGCTGAATTTTACCCTCCCACCCACTGAATCAACTCAGTGATGCCATTTCTAATGCAGGACATCCCTCTGAGGAAGTAGCCTTTGAAGACAACCTAGTGCCCACGTGGGAAAAAAATGTGATTTTTATGCAGAAACTGGGGGAGGCTATTACTTCATGGCCACAGCAGATCTGTTTTGAGATTTGTTGTTCTTACACAGTGCTTTAAGTTAGCTCTTTTCTTTTTGCCTTTCTTCCTTGATTCTGACTGCAGTTGAGCTGACCTTTAAATTTTTTCTTTGCTGCTATGGCTCTTACAAAAGAGGTCAGTGACTTGGCAGCTCTGCCCTTTTGACCGATCCTTTCTGTTCTCTCCAGGCAGTATAGGGACTATAAAAGTAATGCTTTCTTCCGCAACTTAGTTTTATTGGAATCACAGGAGGAAGAACATAACATTAAGTAAAACGGAAGACTGTTCTGATAGGAGGAAATGCTTGTCTGAAAAAGGAAATTAAGCTTTGCCATTATTAACTTCAGTATTCTATCTTAAAAAATAATTCTGCTGTGTATTGAAGAGCTCACTGACCTGGAAACGTAGGGAAATCCTGTAAAAGAACTGTCATGCACTGGCCTACTGAAGGTATGTATAGTCTAGTATACTTTCTGACTGATACTAGTGACCAATTTATGGAAAGAGGCTGCAATTTCATAGCCACCAAAAATGGGAGGATATGAATTCCCTTTCCTCTCTCCCTTCCTTCCCCAAAGCTCTTATTTACACTGTCTCATCTCACTTGTCCCAGCTTTGGTGCTTACTGGTACTTAACACACCAAAACTTACCACTTTTATCCTGAGGCTCGTTTTGTGTAATTTGGGTGAGTTGTATACGCTCAGAGGGGCCTGATGTTTGCTGATGCGCAGTAAGGGGATTGTAGCCAAGAACATGAAGGCTGGAAGGGAGAGCTAGAATATGCCCATTGGTGGTAATAGATTATTCAGGTCTTTTTGCCTGAGCAATCGGACAGGTACCTTGGTGTCGTTATCTTCCTCTTCCTCTTAGCAGTCTGTGCTGTAAGAAATTCCTGGGGCTGAAGATATATCAGCATCATGCCAAATGATAACTCTTGGTGGTCCTATTGGCCAGGACCATCCTTGTCATTCTCATTCTGAATTTGTTTCTATGCCACTTACAGGACAGTTGGCTGTAATTCTCTGGGTTGTTTAAAATCAGTTTTATTTGTTGTCATCATGATTTGTTTCATTTTCCCCTTTCATCACAATTCTGAACACTATCTCTTTGGACATTATGAACATTAATGTCTTCAAAGACTATTACTTTGTAGTCTCGTGATCTTGTCTTGGTGGTACTAAGTGTTGTCTGTCTGCACTTACGTTCTTGTCTTCAGTCTCCTCTAAGCATTCCTGACTAAGGAAAGTTGCTTCTACGCCACCCCAATCTCCTGTAATTTTTGCTAAATTGAAATTTGTCTTTCACAAAACTACTTCCCAAATCCTTGCCTGAACAGTATTATTCCTTAAATTGGTAGGTTACGTTTTGTCTTCTATGCTTTTAGTTGCGTAATGAGTGCCATACACTTTAAATCTTGATTTTTGCACATGGGATGCTTTATTTGAATGTAGACTGAATGAGTGATGTGATAGCATGAGTAAAGGTAGGGGAAGTGATCACTAACTTGTCCCTTCTGCCCACGCATTTTACCTTTTTCCTTCTTCCTTTGGTCCTTCTGCCACCAAGAAATTATCTCTATTTTCAGTGAGTTGTGCTGGAGCAATAGGAGAAGGTGGTAGCGGGAAGAGAACAGAATGGTGTTGATCATGCTGGTGTAGCTAATTATGTCCGATCAGTGAAAGGGTCCGTTCCTGGACAGTCATTGTTACTGCCCTGCATATACTCAGTGAAGAGGTTGCAAATAATTTTGAAGTCTACCATCTGGTCTGGCACAGTACGATCATCACCTTCCCCCCCCTGCGCCCCCTTGGTTCCCGGCACAATGATGACTGTAACCCATTTGCACAGCTGAGAGATTCTGACTTACATATGAAGATAATGCATAATGTAGCAGTTGGTAATGCTACGTTAATTTTTTAATTTTTTTTTAGCTTTTACTTAAATTCATTGTAGTTCGAGACTTGATGTATAGGAGGTGAAAATCATGACAGGGACTGCCAGTGCATTAAAACTACAGGTTATTTGCTTCACTTGACAGAGAAGGTGGCAATACAGAGTAAACTTTAATGTTTCTTTAGGGAGGAGCTTTGGGGGCATTACAGTTAGTAATGATTGCAATGTAAGCTCAGCACACATAGACAAATCTATGTATTGGCTAATAACTCCTGTGGGATAAAGTGGAAATGGGCGTAAGGAAAGACAAAGTTTGTGTTCCATAGCAATTTTGCCTTGGCTCATGTATGGACATGTTGTCACTAAAATAATATTTGCTACACACTAGTGTAATGCAGAAGCTTTTTCTACCCATTAAAGATTATTGTAGGTCATGTTTTATGTGCTATTACTAAATGCTACAGTGTATGGAAATGCAGCTAACTGTTTCTGTATGCAGAGAAATCAGCCCATAATATATTATGGTCTTTGATAGGCAACAGTGTCTTAAAATAGAGTTAGATTGCTGAACCTCACATACTATTTGTAGGTGATTTAAAGAACAGTTGTGATCTATT